GGGAAAGAAAATCACATAAAATACATGCAGCAACAGCACTGAGAGAAGCTGCCTTGTCAGGTCACTGGACACCTGAATCTTAGATTGCCAAGAAGGAAACTTTGTCCAATTTGAGCCCTGGAAACCCCACGTGCAAGCAAAGTGAGATTAACATGAAGTGAATAACAGAATAAATTAGGTTAGGTGGAACCTTTGAAGGTCATCTGTTCCAGCCTCCTGCTCAAAAGAGAACTAACTTCAGGGTTAGATCAGGTCACTCAGGGCCTCCTCCAGTCAACCTCTGATGACCTCCGGCTGTGGAGATTCTACATCCTTCCTGTGAACCTGTTCCAGTGCTTCACTGCACTCACTGACTGGGGTTTTCTGCCACCCACCCTGCCCCAATACCCAGGCAGAATTTCCTTGCTGTGATTTGTGTCCCTTGCCTCTTGCCCTTTCAGTGCGTACCTCTCAGAACAGTCTGGCACTGTCTCTATTTTACTATTTTAGGAAGTTGAAAACAAGTTAGATGCCCCCTCTTCTCCAGGCTAAGCCATCGCAGTTCCCTCAGCCTCTCTCCTCCCGTGCCTCTAGCTTGCCGAGGTCCCTCTGAGTGGCAATGTTGCCCTCCACAGAGAAGTGGCCACCCCCTCAACTTGGTGTCATCCACAAACTTTCTCAGGGGGCATTTCAGCCCATCCAGGTCTGGTTCTGGTTTCACAGTTGAGCCACATGAATACGGGCTGCTCCTCCCTTTCTTGTCTTCCCTGCTTACCTTTCTGCTGCATTTCTGCCTCTACCTCCCCTTTCCCAGATCAGGTAGTTGGGATGCAGTTTGGCAGCTCAGCACTGAAAACTGCCAGCACTTTCAATTCCACAGTCCCCAAGAAAGCAAACCAGCTTTCCAGAGACTTCCTTGGTTGCATCTCTGGCTTTTCTAAGGGCAGTGGGATTGATGCAACAGGGCTTTGCTTCAACAAGTTTGGCCAGTCAGTTGTAATACTAAAAAAAACACCACATACAGAGACCACTTCTCATTGTTAACAGGAAAAGACCGATCTCTACAGCATCTTTAAGAACACACTATCTTTAAGATCAGGCCAGCAGTTTTGTAACAGAAAGCTACTAAGTTACACAGAACTGAAGTTCTCGCTGCCTTGCAATGCCGAGAACTAGGAGGAGACTGCTGTGGTTCTGACAAAGAGAAGAGGACAGTTTTCTTCTGCAATTTTCTCACCCTTACCCCCATCTTCACAGTATTTCTATCTTAATACATAAAATAACCTTGGATGAAAAATTCATAGCACTCTATACTGGCTGACAGGCATTATGTCCAGTCTAGGAAAAGGAGGAGGAATGGAATCAGATACATAAGATGGATCTGATTATTTTAGGTATAAACTGAATTAAACCTATCACCATGTTTGAGACTCCAAAATCCCTAAGGGAAGTATCAGGCACAGACTCCTTCACTTGTCCCACAAAAGGCAACTGTACTCAAGGTTATGCTCTATTGGTCTTCCAATGCTCATCACGCTTAAGTTTTGCATAGTTACCAGCTCTTTACATTGGTCATCCCTGTCTCTCCGAACACCATTCCAATTGCCCGCAGCTCCCCCAACTGCTCTTTTTGGCTAACAGACAGGCTTCCCAAAAAAAAAAAAAAAAAAAAAAACAAAAAAAAAAAACAGTGTTCCATGGCCCTTAACTGAACAAGGCTTCAAAGGGGATTCTCAGGCATTAAAACATACAGTCACTGCACTCAGACTGAAGTAAAACATATAAATATATATGTAGTCCAAAAGGAGCTAAACTATTGTCGTCTTCAAGAACTTCACCTCACCTCCTGTACAGTTCCTGCTCTGCAGCAGAAGACTTCTGACCAGAGTCACTTGCCATTGGTGGCTGGATTCCTAGAAAGAAGAACAGAAACCTGTGACAACTATAGTACAAAACACACTCCTTCATCACATCATAAGTTATTTGAGAAGAGGAGAGTATTTCATACGTGAGTGTTAGCTCATCAAAAGAAAAAGACAATACACCTAAAAAAGTCTCAAGAAAATTTAAGTTTGATGAATGGAGTTTGAATTCATGAAACAGAGACACTGACAGCATCGTCTTCAACAAGGCATGCTACAGAAAATTCTCAGTAAGGATGTTAACACCTCAAACCCCTGGTTTATACTGAAACATAAGCATGGGTTTAGTCCTACTTTCCATTTCCTTCCTGTAGTTCCATTAAGTCTTCCCATTGATCTCGTATCCTGGTTTTCCTGGTAATTACAAGCGATCTCACAAGTGGAGATGAAATTATTTGATGGAGCTTAGGCCACCCATAAGGCTGAATCCACTTTCAGGAAAGATGTAGGCTAACAGCAAACAAATCTTTAACAGCGAAAGCCTGGCTCCCTAACTTCATGTTAGTCTGGATGCCTTAAACAAATCCCCACTGATAACATATATCAACATAGTATATTGGAGAACCAAGAGAAACCAAGTAGTTTTCTGACCTGTAAAGATAAACTCAGAAACCAAGTTCTCACCATCCACTTGGCAAGCTGTGCTTAGTCAGCCTATCCTTCCCTACAAGCTTAATTCCAAAAACCAAAAAGCAGTATTTCCCCCACCCATCCACAATATACTCCCTGTGCATGGAAAGGACACAACAAGTCAGCTTGCCAGGGATGAAAGATAAAACAAAAGATTTCTGCCTTGCTTATTGCACATTCATCTGAAATCCTAGAAACGTTCAGAAAGCGATGCAAGTTCATTAAAGTATCTGGGAAGGGTGGTATCGCAAAGATGAAGAAGGAAAGGATCTAGAAAAACAAGTTGTCTTACTTAAGGTCACACAGCGACAGAACTAGAACCATAGCATTTTAACTTCTCCAACTGCCAGGTGACATGGCTACCTTTCAGAAACATAAAGAGGATGTGACAGGACTGTAACATCCAAGGCACTCAATTATGCTGATATCTACACCCACAGAAGTGTTACAGGCTAATCAAAGAGCTCCTTTCACCAGGTAGTCTTGACAAGATACAGGCATACTACGTAACATCCAGTGGCAGCGCTGCTGAGAAGTGTGTCAAAACAGTCAGTAGACCTGAGAGGGACTGACAGTACCTGGAGATTTAGGTTTCCCTTCTGCAGCTGGTGAAGGTGGAGCTGTGCCATCAGATGCACAGGGCGATCTCTGGTTGTCCCTTTTACTTTGAGGAGATTCTTTCATTCTGTTCACTACATCTTCAGAGAGCTGAAACACACATACATGGGAAAGAAATTAACCAAGTCAACTCTTAATACATACATATTTGAGGATAAAATCTCCCCATCTGTTAGTTTCCATGCTACTGCAAAAGTATTGCCAGTTACTTCATTTCAATGCCACCGTCCTTCAAATCCAGGTGGTCAACATGTATATGTTGACTTTACATTTTAAAAAAACCATATTCTTATCAGTAAGTGATAAAACCTCCAATCTGCTGACCCTAAATGCTTCACTGGACAGTAAGAATGAATCTTCCACAAATACTAAGGAAGGCGGAGGGCACTGCTAAACAAGCCAGTCCCTTGAGTAGGGACATATTTACCAGAAGTGGAAGGAAAGGAACTAAAGCAGATTAAGTCCGTCCATCCGTCCTTCTCCCCCCATGCTTGCTAACCCAGCTCAGCATGGCAGAAGCACAAATCATACAGCAGAGAACAGCTGCACAGCCCTCCCATTGACATAAGGCTGCAAACAGTTTTGCAATCTCAACTTCATTCTCACTCCCTTACTTGGGTCCAAAGCCATGGAAAAGAAAGAAAAGTTAACTCGAAGTTTTCTGGCACTTCAGTCCAAGGGGCTTCTCACAGCACCATTAAGATTGACCCCTTCTTCTTCCCAAGGTCAGAGGTTTGTGCTGACTGTTCCGGCTCCAGAACAAAATGAAATGAGGCCGTTTCCCCACCTACATTTGTCACAGTAGAAGACACATCTTCAGCTGTGCCACTGCTATCCAATTTAACAGCGTTTTTGACATTATACATTGTTATCATGCCAAATTCCTGTTTACGGGAACTGGTTTTTAAAAACACAAATCTGTAAAAAGCCAGACTTAGTTAAGAGCAGGCTCAGTGGAACTACTTTTATATACATAGCTGCAAAAAGCAAATAACCTCTTTGGTAATTAGAGCGGGGAATGGTTATTTCATTTCACAAAACAAACAAAAGGAAAAGAGAAACTTTTACTTCAGGAAGTCAAACAGAAAGGCCTACAAAGACCACAGCTCATTTAACCTAATCAGCTGTCGTAAGATACACAGGGCATCTTCATCTTGAGCTCCTGGAGGTCATAAGCACACCAGTAACAATGAACACACATTGGTTCCATCAGCATCCAGCTGATGGAGCAGCTGACTAAATTAAAGCATCAAACACATTGCACCTATGGCAGGTGAGGGTGAGTCCTCAAGGGGCCCCCACCTACATCCTGTAAAGAGAAATGAAGCAAGAATGACCTTACCTCTGTCAAACACTTTAAAAAGGAGATTGGCACAATCTTAGTTAATTTTTGTCAAATGATTAGTCAAAATGGGATGAAAAATAAGTAACCACAGCACAACTCACTCTGCAAGCTCATTTCAGATGAATCTTAGGGGAAAACCAGATAAAAGCATGAAGAAGCAACAGCAATAAAGACAACGGTAGTAATAAAAAAAACCCTTAAATAACCTATGAAAAATAGGGAGAGAAATCTTGATGGGGAAGAAACGTTCCTTAATGATACCATTACCACTCTCCAGGGCTTGTTTTCACAACACGTATATGTAGATGTCCGATCAAAGTTCAAGAAGCAGCTTCCCACTGCCCCTCCTAGAAACACCCCTAATCCTCACTAATCCCTACAACCTCTTATGTCCCTGCATGATCAGACAGCGGTGCTTTGCCAAGGCTCTTGGTATCATTAATAAGGGCAGAGGTGTCTCCTCTTGGATGCCCTCAGAGCCAGGCAGGGTCTTGAGCATCAAACTGCTTGCAAAGCACAAGGCAGGGGCAAGATCTCTTGTCGGTCTCTTCTCCCAAGTAACAAGTGATGGGACAAGGGGAAATGGGCTCAAGTTGCACCAGGGGAGGTTTAGATTAGATATTAGGAAAAATTTCTTCACGGCGAGAGTGGTCAGGCCCTCACAGGCGCTGCCCAGGGAAGTGGTGCGATCGCAGTCCCTGCAAGTGTTCAAAAAACGTGTGGATGTGGTGCTTAGGGACACGGTTCAGAAGCAGACCAGGCAGTTAGGTTATCAGGCTGGACTCGATCTCAGACATCCTTTCCAACCTTAATGATTCTATGATTCCAAGATGGGGTCGTTAAGCAGCAAGGAGGGAAA